TTGGAACGAGCTATTAACTAAATTAGTTACGTTCGTTTTGATAAATGGATTCAAACTGACGGACAATTTATATTATTTTTTGTTCGTCTTTTCCTAAAGATTTAATATGTCACTGATGAATCACATGTATTTGCGTCTATTGTCCCTTTCGTGTTCGCTGACAGGCGCGGTAATTAATTTTTATAATTCAATGTCAGCGAAATAATTATTTTTCTGGGCCGATAGATTGATCAACGCAGGAAATCGAGGTACGTGTCTTCAATTTATATCAATTTACAGGTGAAACTGAACGAAAAATTCCCTCGTTTAATGTTTCTACCTCGCTAACCCCCTCCCAGGGGTGTGCTGTGTTTAGTGTTTTCTATGCGATAAAACACGTTCTTTAATTTCACGTTGTTCCATTCTGTTTCAACGCTTCGATATCTTCATCAACGTCGAGATCCAAATTCTAAATATTCCATTGCGTTATCGTTTAATTCGTCGCAAATCCACGAGACGCCATAGCCAAATGAAATTTAATCCTTTCAAACTTGCAGCTCGAAAACTGCCTACAGAATGCAAAATCTTCTCATAGAATCGATACTCAACCACTATCCTTCATCGCAATCAAGATAATTTTCCAAACTACCACATCAAGTGCAAAATGTGGCATGTAGAGTGGTTGCTCCGCCTTGTATCCCAATCGACGCAAATTTTCCAAAACTCCATAGAAAATCCAAAAGCTTCCAGACAACTCTGGCAAAGCCTCGCGTGAAAAGGGCATTTCACGACCACGTACCGAGTCCTCCAAAATGCCCCATACGAGATTACTGTCTTGTGGCTGCTTTTCATGCCAATTTGCAGAAGGAGAAAAAAGTCTGGATCGTCCAATCAAAGAAAAAGGTACAAGGTCTCGGAAAATCCGTCGCGTAAGATCGTTGGAGCTGTCGTTTCTCTCGACTATCGTCATGCTGAGCAAAGAAGAAGCCCGGGGCAACCGAGGGAAACTGTGACGGCCCCCATAAAGTTTAGCATTTAGACAAGAGGCTCTTCTCGCGGAGCGCAACGTCGAGTAGTCCATTACGAGCTGAAGGGAAGGCGTCGATAGTCGTTATCCGCCGGTTATCCCATTCCTTTTTCTTTTTCGCAGTCTCTTTCCGTTAAAAGCGAACAGCGTGAGAGCGAGATCTCCTCGACGCACTCCTGCCACACCGTAGCAGCACCTTCTAACGCCATCCACGGTGGTTTCTTCTTACGGGGTAGCTACGAGGTTCGTTGCTCGTAATTAGGCTGCTCTGGAGGATGCTCTTCCGTGGGCCAGCGCCCGAGCAGCGATCTCCTCATAATTCCCGGGTTCTTATCTTCTCTTGGCCGTTCCTTCGCGAGCAAACAAATCCACCGCAGATGGAGAGAGGCGGCGTGATAAAATTAAGGGGAAGAGAACAGTTCGTTAAGGGGCTGGCGGGAACGTTCAGCTTCCTCGAAAGGCGGCTGCCAAGTTCGAGTGCTGCATTACGATGTTTACCGTTGTTCGGTGCCTCGTCGGATATTGTACGGCGATCCTGACGGCCCTCCATCGAGAACTTCTCGGCCACTTGCTTCCTGTCTGCTCCTCGCGCGCCAGCTCCAGCAGATCGTCGACGCGTGTCGGATTTCTCGTGTCCGATGAGCTCGCGGTACGCGTCGTTGCGATCGACGATCCAGTTGTTGTTGATTCGCGGTTTTGTTACTTCTGTTTATTTGCTACTTTAATTTTGCCTACTTTAACGTTGCATCGTTGGATACTTTACTATCCACTACTAGTTAAATTACATTAATCCAAATTAAAAAATCCATTACTAGTTAAATTAATTAGCAAGTAATTTAATTTAATGATAGCAAAGTAGAGTAATAAATAAATTATTAGCGAACCGTAGTAGTGGCAATTTTTAACGTTGCAATTTGCTTTGTTGGAATCGATACGCAAAGTTTACCGAAATAATCGATACATTTTTTGAAAAACCCGCCATTGGCGGAATGTTTGCTTTCTGAATTTCATTTCTATCACTTTTCGTTAGAATATTTTTACAACCGTTTGCAGCTCTACGATTATATAACATTCTTTTTTTTATTTCTACTCATAGAACAAACTGGTGAAATTTGATCGTTGGAAACGCGCGCGCTTTGTATTATTTCGCGCTGGAAACCGCGACAGATCGAAGTATATTTCGCGATAACGTTCAACTTTTCCAAATTTGTTGTATTATGTTTTCACACTTGTCCTGGACGATGTTATCCAAGTCACTCGCGTGTCTGAACATTCTTCAGTCCATGAAATTTATCTTTGTTTTAATTATTCCAAAAAATGCAATAAAAAGTGGGTCACCGGTGAAAATTTAATAAAAGCTGGCACTTGCCTTCTCGTTTTCTTTTTCTATCCCTTTTCCGACATTCACCGACTCAACGAAATATTTATATTCAGCCTTTGTAATAATATACCGGTGTGATTGATGGACTTTGCAGGACTATGATAAAGGAAACAACTGGAATTGCGCGAAATCGTAGAACTCGTGCAGCAAGTAAATTGTTAGCTGTTTGAGCAGCAACTTCTGTTGTACGAGGCAATGAGTTTTGGCGCAGTCGTAAGAGTTGATTTATGGAACGATGTATAGCGTTGCGGTCTGACGAACTTACATGCAAATTCTGGGTCACCGTGTATTGGGAACAAGCATTCATATTTCTTGTAGCAAGCATCTCAAAAAATATGAACGTTGTATGCGAAGCAGTAGTAGATCGTTTCGTGACAAACGACCATAATCAGTCGTAGTAACGAAAGAGTCGAAATCGCGTCCTATTGCTATTGATATTTCGCCTAACATCGCGGAAAACTGCCGGACATACGACTGATAATTGTACCATCAGCATGTTTTATGACCTCTGATAAAGTTCTAGCTATGATGCGTGTGAAATAGCCGAGCATTTTTCCAATAAAACTCCAGTCTGCAGCCTGAAGCATTCGCGAAATTAATGCAATTCACGTAATCGTAAATAAGGCACGTTTACATGTACAATATTTCATACACACGCATCTATGCTACTAACCAGTTGGCTGTTCCTGACGAGTATACTCGTCACGAAGAAGTGGCAAAGAAGGAATAAAACAGTCATTTCATTGCGACTTAATTCAGTGTTACAACAGCCACACATACTCTGTGTTTGCGTAATTAACACATTACAGTGTACATTGTAGATCAGCGTTCTGGCAATAGTGTTGCATCTGATGACCATAAATCTCGTCCTATGTGGTTCATTTTCGTAATACATTTTTCTCAACTGACTCTCAAATATTGGTTGAGCGTTGCAGATTACCAAGAACGTGAAACGTTTATGCTTATCTAATTTTCTATGGAATAAATAAACTGTCTTTTCTTTTCTATCTTCTGGCGTTTAGTGTGTTTCAGGCATTCGTTAACGTGCAGTGCGCGGAATAATATCTGGTCGAAGTTGATGTGAAAATTGCTAGTTTCTTTGTTCCTCGACTGAGGATAGTTAATGAGCAAGGAGAAAGATATTAACCGCAACACGAAATAGCAACCGCTCGTTTTTCTTTTCAATCTATTTATCCGCGTCGTGAGGGTAAGATTGACCCTCCTTAATGGCAAATTATATTCTCGTTAGACTGGGTTTACGGTTGTCGTCGACGGTTTTGCCTTAATAATTCATTATACGCTACATAGATGTTGCAGATTAAATTACGTATAAAGTAAGCAACATCTATCACGTTCTATCATTTAACATCCTAATTCGATAAAACGTTGCAGACTAAAATCTGCAACGTGCAGCGTTCTTGGATTATTGTGTGCAGCATGTTTTTACATTAGTGTACGTAGTATGTGACAGCTTAGATATTATTCAAAATGCCGCAAATAAATTATCTTTACGCCATGGATTGTAATATAAGTGGGAGAACGATGGTAGCAACGATTTCCTTAGCCGATATTCTTTTCTTTTCGTTTCTCCTTCTGAGGGTTCATTTCTGACAGTTCAATTAGAAATATACACGCGAATTCCTCGAACATAAATTGAACGAAGAAATAATTGTTACGAGAGAGAGGATTGTTACAGCTTCTAATTTATTGCCTATAATCAGTTCGCGTGCAAATAAAATTATCTGTAATGGACTATAGTAATACGGATAAAATTACAGAGCTTCTATTTTATAATTTTCATCTCCGACGACGAAAAAAGAAGCACAGAAGGGGCACAAAAAATTCCTAATCGAGTAGACGACTGTCTCATGAATATTTTAATATCTTAAATATTCAAATATTATGACCGAAATTTTTTTTAGAGTTTCAGGAAGAGTAAAGGAACACGTGTATATTTATTCCAAGAAACGAACATAAAGAGAAATCTGATAATACGAGATTGCACGGTAACGTAGCGAAACTGTTGCTCTGTAAAACACAGGAAATACGTTCTTTCTCTGTACTCTTCCACTAATATTGTTAATCCTCCACGTGAAAGTTGACGTCCGAGACTAACCAATCGTCGCGGTATTAACAAAAATATTCTCTCTACAAATTACACTCCCAAATCTTGTACGATTAATCGTACAAAAAATAGAAAAAGGAAACAAATCTTATGCCCAACAAAAAAAAAAAAAAAAATACATAAAAGAAGCAGGAAAAAATTGCCAACTGAAAAGAGCATAGACAACGCGAGTACACGGCAATTGTCCCGTGGAGAGCAAACGTTACGAGGTCGACGAAATTTCAGTCGAAATTTCACTCGTGTCCAGGCGAATTCTTTTGAATCGAAAGCCGACATCGACCGATGAGATTTAATCTATCGCGCGAAACCGCGTTCGCGACAGGCCGAGTTGGCTGCGCTTTAATCCAAAATAGGGACCTATCGAGTGAATGAGAGAAAGAGAGAGAGAGAGAGAGAGAGAGAGAGAGAGAGAGAGGTTTTTAAGCCAGCGACGCCGCCGTAACTTTCGAGAAAGCCCTGACGAACTTTGGCCCCATTGCTTGTTGCAGCTGTCCGCCATCGTCGATGGGATTTACGCGGAACACGGCCACACTGCGGGCTCGTTCACACATTTGGCGAGCGATCGACTGTTGGTGGGCGGTGGTGCCGACGCGAGATCCCTGCAGGGCGCCAAGGGGATCAACAACTTCGTCGGATGCCTGAGGAAGGTAAGCGAGATCCGTTCGTTCGTGGGTTCCGCGTGATCCACTTTAACCTGCCGCGATTTATTTAGCAAACGTAACTGTCCGGCCGTGAGTCGCGGAACAAGGTACGCTACTATCGAAAAGTACAGCGGCAGTTTCTTGCGGAAGAGAAATAAGTCTAATTCAACGTTATTCGACTCGTAGGCTTCGGGTTCAGCAAGCCTCTCTATAGAAGTTTCAGGTTAATTAGCGATTTTATGTAGTTAACGATTTCTGCGACGATCAAAGAGTACTTGGAAGAGCAGCTAAATTGAAGAATTCAAATCGAGTCCACTAAAACTATTATTATCGCGTGGCTCTTAACACGATTACACACGTAGAATCGAATGTATGTGAAGAATTAATATGCAGAGAAATATAATAAAAATTCTCCATTTGGTGGACTGGAACTTGAAGAGGTTTTCGGAAACGACGATTAAGATAATCGTTGTTTGACTTTATATAATCGAAATGAATCGCGTCTCAGGAATGCTCGAAAGCTCTGACTACGGACGATGCAAGAAGCAGCGCTTACCGAAACACGGCTGTTGGTTGGAAATTCTCGTTCGTGTGAATTCAGAAAAAGGGTGAAATATTAAAACGCGCGTGCGTTTGTCAAGGAAATTTATACGATAGCTAGCTCGTCCCTGTCTTTTCCTTTCTCCAGTGGAGAAGTGAAGTAAAGAATGGGCTCGATACACGACGGTACAAAGAAAGTCACGCGAGTGGATTCTTTTTCTTTTTTTCTTTTTCCGAACGATGCCGAAAGTTTCATTTAACGCGGCAGCCACTGGATTTTCGACTGGTGTCCCATCTCTCCGGGGAAATATCCTGGTTCTGTCGTTTCCCCGTTGGATAGCATTATTTGCTTAATGACGCACGGATGATGCAAAGAGATGATCGATACTTGGCCACGAATAGCCGGAGCATTCGAATTTAATTTTATGTTCCTAAGAAATTGCCGGTTATAAATGTTCATAAAAATGATGTTATCGGCGAGAGCTGACAGGCAACCAACATTCGTCCGTATCTCCAGGACGAAATGAGATACAGCTGCGCGTGAACGCTCGCAGCTCTGTAGAGCTACAGTGAACGTGAGAAGCATTCGTAGGATAATTAATTTCAACGAACGTATCGTACAACGTCGTTGATTTAGAAGATTCTTACAGATACAAAATATGTATCCTTGCAAGTCTGCAGTAAAATTTTCATAAAAAAAGAGGAGTGGAATATCTATATCCTTTGTGAGAATATTAACAAATATCTAAGAAATGGTAGAAATATATACTTAATTAGTATTGTTTAAAACTAGAAGCAGATGAAGCTGATAAGGCTTATCTAATATACAGGGGAGAAAATTAATAAGTTTAATTATTTGTATACTTACAGATACAAAATATGTATCCTTGTAAGTCTGCAGTATAATTTTCATAAAAAAAGAGGAATGGAATATCTACATCCTTTGTGAGAATATTAACAAATATCTAAGAAATGGTAGAAATATATACTTAATTAGTATTGTTTAAAACTAGAAGCAGATGAAGCTGATAAGGCTTATCTAATATACAGGGCAGAAAATTAATAAGTTTAATTATTTGTATACTTACAGATACAAAATATGTATCCTTGCAAGTCTGCAGTATAATTTTCATAAAAAAAGAGGAGTGGAATATCTACATCCTTTGTGAGAGTATTAATAAATATCTAAGAAATAGTAGAAATATATACTTAATTAGTATTGTTTAAAACTAGAAGCAGATGAAGCTGATAAGGCTTATCTAATACACAGGAGAAAATTACTAAATTTAATTATTTGTATACTTTACTTTTATTTGTATACTTCCTTTCGATTTTATTATGGCTCGTATGCAGTTGCATTGAATTTACCAAATTCTGAAACTACTTGAATTACTCTCCCATTTTTCCTAAGCTCTCTTTAAATCGTTTCTTGATTTGATTTTTTTCGTTTTCGTATAATGTTCGTTTAAGCTAGAAAAATTTAGCAAATGTCCAGCTGGACAAATTGTAAAGTACGAATTAAATAATAAAAGAAAAATAATAAATAAACGCTTAAAAACACCTCCAAAATATATGAGGACCGCGTGAAGCTTACGATACCGAGTCAGCATATCTCATCAAGAAACGTTGTATTTCGTAGCTAATGAATCATGAATTTTCTCTTCAGATAGAAAGTTGGCTACTTTTTAACAAATAGCCTCGTGGTGATATATTACGCACATACGCAGTAAGTGCGAGGCATGTACAGTATGTTTTGCATATGTTGGTATACATAAGTATGCAGAACATATGGACTATGGGAAAAATGCAAAGTAGAAAACGAATTTATATAATCTTCTAATCGCACAACGTATTTCTATCCAGATTTCGTTTCTCTATTTGCATTTTGCAAAAATATGCATCGACATTAGCATGCAAGATCAGATATTAGCAATTTGGAGCGGAATTTTCATCGCGAATATTTATGCATATTTATATTATATTTTAGACACACAGACGGAGAATGGAAATATCGATGAAAGAACATTCTATTTTCTACGTGCATGTTCATCATTTTGCAAAGTATACTCGGTACAAATATACGCAGAAACACGATCTACTCGCCGTAAGTTCCTTCATACAGTGCTGCGAATAATTAGGAACGCACACATTTTCTGCGCTGTTTCTTCGATTTATCGTATTGCATTGACAACCAAGTGATTGCGGATTTGTCAATATCATCTAATGATAAAATCCGCGATCAATTAGTTGCCAAACCACTGACAGTGTTTCGCTGTTCACGCAGCGAAGAGACCAATTTCAATAGGAAATTTAATCTTCGACAGACTTGGAAAAACATTTGACAATTTGACACTGTAAACGATCTTTGCTTTAATTCTACGAAAAATCGAACAATGAGATTGCCTTTACGATTTACAATTACTCGGGCCACTGTATAACACGTAAACGAAACTGCGTCTACTTTAATGTTCGAGGCGCGCAGTCTAAATACGACAGAAACGTTCGTCATTCGCTGAATAACATTCCCTCGGATCGTCTTTCCAGCCAGGAAATTTCACTTGCGCGAATTCGAATTCATGGCCGGCTAGAATATTCTGTAGTGGAATTTAAACACGAGCCCAGCAGCTCAGAAATAATACCGTGTGTCGCGGTTTCGATGGTTTCGTGCCACTTGCCGGAGACAACTCGCATAGCCAAGCCGATTCACTCGCTCGCCTATACCGCCGTCCGTTAATGCTGGCCAAAGTTGGCGTATTCAGTCACAGGTCTGTCAGAAATCTTAATGAGGTCTTAGCACTTTGATCGTCGCGTTTCAACCATAAAGGATCGTTACATAGACGTTCGCCTGGCCGAAATCGCCGATTCGCTTTGAACTTTGTAAGATAATGTTGGACGTACAATAGACGTGTTCGCTAGAAGCTTCTGGCACATCTAAGTGAAGTTTATAGCTCGATTTTCGATGCCTAAAACTCGTATACACATGCTCATTCTATAGTGAGCAGATTTTTCTATCCGATTTTCTACGTTTCCCTAGCCACGTGAAAGTTTGGCACGAAATGACATGAAGTTTAATATATTAGGTTACCCGAAATGTTTCTTTCGTTCGACGCACAATGTTTTTTGTTTTATATTAGTTTATTTATAATAGAAATAGAACGAACTTAATTCGATAAAATAATAGAAAACAGAAATTCTTACTTATCAGCTTATCAAACGAAAGAAACTTTTCGGACAACCTAATATACTTGCACTTAATCGGATAGTGTATGAATATGGTAGATAAGAACACACGATTCGTTAAATGTTCTTTCGACAGCGTTAACAGTTTTTTAATTACAGTCAGATCATTGCGCGAGCCATTAGAAATCAAAACAGTGTTCTACTGCGAGGACACAAGAATTGTACACTTATTTACACCTAGCTGTTTACGTGCATCTTTCTTATTGAGATACGTATAATTTTCTGTGCTGCACTGGGTTAAATGCGTTAGTAGAGATACTTGTATGTGGGTGTCAGTGTGTGGAGGAATGTGTGTGCGCGGCATCTCGAAGACAAAGGAATGTAAAGTGTTCAGTTGGTATGGAAGAAAATGTTGAGACGCGTGCGAGTGCGTATCGATGAATATCTTAGCAATCGTTCATAAAATAAATATATAACTATTCTAATATTAATTCCAAGTGTAAATTTAGTGTTCCTGTAACATTATTTCCGCTATCAAGATCCACAATTGTCAATATTTTTACAAACTGTATCGAATATAAATAAATATATCCACAGTCTAGTCGCCATAGAATTCGTGCATTTTCTTGGAAATACGTCCAAGATGTAACGAAACTTCGCCTGCTTGAACGATCCACGCGCAGGCTAAATACAATAGAGACGTATCATTTGGCGAATAACTGCCTTTAGGTTCCAGTTTCCAGCGCTGCAATCGTATTGTGTACATCGTGTTACGTTACACGGTGCACTGATAGCGAGCATTAACATTCGCCTAACTTTTTAACATGTAACCAGTGTTCATCCTCGGGGAAGAAATTATTACAAAAATAAATAAATATCGGCGTTGTGAAAATTTCCGTATCTGAAAAAGAACGTCGATATCGTCATATTTTCACAGATACGATAACATAAGAAACATATGCGCGTAATTGTCAAAATTTTGTAATTTTGTTTCACACAAACGCCACTCTCCGCAAATTCCCTCATCGTTTCGATGAAATTAACGAAAATTGCCAACACATTGAACGTCGTTACTTGCAACCAATTACATCGATCGATTATCCCCCTCAGCATTTTTTTCTTTTTTCATTAGTGCCCGATAAGCGGTGGATCGATTAATTAGCTTGATTGCATTGTTTATGCAAGGGATGAAAAAGCTGGCGCGTAAATCTGACAGAAAAACGAGCGAATTTTAACTATCCGCCGCGGTTTCAACCTTCCTGATAAATAACATTTCGCCTCTCCAGCGGATACTAAATCGCAATTCTCCGCGTTCGATAAAAGACATAAATCATGGCTAATACGTAATTACTATGTTAATGCGTACGTTAATAATCTCGTAACTGGATTTATCTTTCAATTCAGCCTGTTCACCTGTCCAGCGATTCGCAACAAAAATACGCGATATCCGATCCCATTCTCTTCGTCCACTTATTGTTACGTAAATTCTCATTGCTATCTTTATCGCTTTTACGGTTGTTTCTATTTCATTCGATTTCTAAGCAACGTTTAATGACGAGGCAAACGTCGAAATATTTTTACGAGCCGCGATACGATTTCATTTTATCGCTTGCTTCTTCCTTTCTTGTTCTCGCTTCGTATTCTTTGGGGTTATCGGTGGCGGATGAAATATCGCGAAAGGAATATCTCTAGCCGTGTTGAAATAATCCTAAATTCTCCTCGTATATCGTATATTCCTAAATAATCGTAGATTCTCCTGAACAGATATTATTACACAAATACAAGATAAACGCAGGATGCTTCAACTTCGTATTTTAAGGATAAAGACTGTGAGAAGGACGCTCACGTAGTCGCATAATCAAATACAAAAGTAGTAGAATTTTCAAACTGTTCTCCCACAAAGTACCAGCTTGTCGTGTTATATATTTTACTCTTATTGTATATTATATTTTACTCTTGGTTAATAAATTGAAATATTGCCGATTATTTGACAACATAAAATTGCTTGCAACAAATTGCTGTGGACTTTTATGCAAATTCGCATTTCCGAAAATATAATGAGAAACGTAGGACCTCGGTGCGAAATTGTTCCACTATAGAAATTACGTTACACTTGAAAAATCTTTTGCAACCGGAAAATCAAACGTTGGAGTGTTTCGCAAGAAAGAAAATTACCGACCACCTAATTATCATACAGGTAACCGTACACTAACGAACGGCGCGTACGATGCGGCGAAATGAATTTCGCTCGAACCTCCGTATCAACCTCCTCTCGAAACGCACGCACACGCTTTTTCCGGGTCGATAATGCCCGAATACCGGCGTTTCCCAAATTCGCGCTTTGTTCCCCGAAGGCTTTGCATTGCGATATTAAAATCCGGTTACAGCGCATCCGGCGCGATCGAGATAGCCCGGCCGATGTAATGAAAATGTTTTTCCACCCTTTTTGCAGGTCGAATTCGTGGCGGAGGGGGTGAAAATGGAGCTGATCGACGCGGCCAGGAGCGGAGCCGCGGGCGCGGCCGCCTGGGGCAAAATGGATTTCCATTGTCGGGAGCCCAGAGCCTCGGACCCAATCACCTTCACCACCAGGGACTCTCATCTCGTGAGTATTTCCCGCCGTATTATTTCGTCATGAAAAATAAGAAATATCCCTCGTGCAACGTCGACAAATCCCAATGCCAAGTACGAATGGAGGGGCGGCAGCATCGAGAAAATTACTTTGCTCGTTTCTCTCTGATGGTGTTAACGAACGAATCGCGCGTGTAGTCCCTGGTGTATCTACTTTTTAACTCTTTGAGCCATTCGTTGGATTAATCTTCGTTCCACTATTTCTTTCGATAGACTCTCGCGATTCTCGTTAATTTCTTCCTTTTAATTAATGTTATTTTGTTCTTCGCTGTTTTTCATTTTTTCTTAGTTGTTGTACATTTGAGGGTCCGACCGAAAAATAATTGTTCGACTAATTTTTAATTATTTTCAAACTCCACTTGCTCGCAAACGAAGAAAACGTTATCCTATGTTCTTTTATTTTTCCATAAACAATCACGTTATTCCTATTTTACGTGTTATTTGCATATTACGGACTTTGTACATATATTGTTTCTTTTTTCTTCTTTTAAGGGGAAATGTTATTGCACATGAAGGTTTCGATTTTGTCCAGCGACGAGTCTTGCGTTTAATTTCTTCATTTTCTTCAATATTCTATCGCTTTGTGTTCCAGACACTCGTCGAATTAATTTTTTAAATTGCTCGTTTTAGTAAAATTAAAGTATTTCATAGTCTTTTTCTTCCTCTCTTTCGTCCATTTCATTTTACAGTTCTCGTTTCTCGTATTACCGTTATTAATATGCTATTTTAAAGAGATTGTCGATTGGAAATGGATTTCCAGAGGTCGGATATCGTGTCGGGCGACGAACATCGAACAGTTTACAATAGTTTTATGGTCGCGATGGAGTGTCGATTACGTAAATATTATTTGACCGGTGGCTGAAAAAAGCGTGCGAGCTAAACGCAGTGGTATATTCGTGACAACGTAGTATGTAAATTTCGTTCCAAGTTGTTTATATTTGGAAACTAGCGTGAACCATACGTGGACAGCATTGCTTTCCTTTATGCAACGAATGTTACGTTCGATCAGCTCGAATCGATGTTGTTTCACTCGAGTTCCTGTCACGCTGTCAATTTAAAATTGCCATTCTAGCTGTCTTTATATATCATTCGCTTCTGTAAAAAGCGATACGATCCAGCAACCGATAGTCTGTCGACGATAATGTTCAGAAAATTTTGTCTATTGGCAATTTTTCAACCTACGACACATTCGTTGCGATGTAATTTCTCAGCGAGAACAGTCGACTACGATTGATACAAATTAAAAATCAATTTACGCCTGCGATATGAAAACGCGATGTACATTTCGATCGATCTGTTCGCTTCTACGATTTATGAGAAACGTTGTCCGTTTAATCGCATGAACGAAACGTGTGTTCGAAATTTGTGGGATTTCGTATACACGTGGTGACTTGGCAACTAAGTAATTGCGGATTCTGTCATTAGATAGCAATAACAAGATCCGCAATTTCTTAGTTGCCAACCGCTTGCGTTGATTTAAGGTACAGTTGACAAAGCGGACAAAGTTGATGAATTTTTCGATAAACGCGCGGTAGAAAGATTTTTCATTTTTATTTGGCTGTATTTTACAATCAATTCTCATTGAGAATTTGAAGTAAATGGAAGAAAGATGACGTAGACAATTTGTTCGTAGCTTGGCTAGAAACCCGTTCTTACGATTCTATGTGATTAAAATAAATTGCAATGCCTTTAGTCCGAGGGAAACGACGCGATCGGATATTCTACAAATTTCCCTCTTTCGATAATTCATCGGCCTTCTACGTCCGTTCGTTGAATATCTGGAACGTTTGGTCTAGCAAATCTGCCATACAGGAAAGCAATTACAAGAAACGATTTATCCCTCTATTATTTCCGATAATCGACATTCTACCGCACCCATAAAGTCTCATCTACGATTCCCTTTCGTCCATGATATCGCGTCAAACACAAAAGGTCGCCAAGCGTCGCGGGCATCGTTGACAAATTCTAGAAATAAATTCCGGACGACCAAACTTACGTCGTATTGTTATTCCATGCGAAATTGTCACCGAAATTACTCGATGTAGGCGCATAAATTATCGCGAGAAAGGAAATGAATTCTTGGAGCACGTGGTCGCTAAGATTCCAGGGAAGAAAGAAAATGAAAAGCAGATCGTCAAACAGAAGAAGAGGTAGAATGATTTTGTAAACGCGTTGTCGGTATTGTTACAGGCAAATTTAAAAACACGTATAGTCCAGGAACGAAGTGTTTTCGTAATGGCTGACCTTACCGAATGACGCGTTAGCAGCGTGGAAATTTAAACAGAGCGGCGTTTGAATCACGCGGTGCGGTTCGCCTGGCAAAGAGCAGAAAGCAGTTGAAACGCCATTTTCCCTTTAGTGTCTATAGCAGCGGTTCATGACTCTCCATACAATGATTGTCAAGCGCGTTTCATAGCATTCCGAACATTCTCTGCGCGTGGCCTCAGTGCTTCTCAAACTTTTCATTCCAATTACTCGATTATGACTCGCCCGACTATCAAATTCGAATTATCGATTCTGGATATTAATTTCACGTATGTGCTGTTCCTCATAATTCGGACAAACTATGGAAATATGGAGATTAGCGTGACAGGGTAGCGATCCTACGCGGAGAAATGAGTCGAGAAAGAGGAATAACATTTTGTCGTTGAAGGGTTCGATTTAGAGAAAACTGAGCTTGAAAATTCGACAACGTGTACCAATCCTTGTTAAGAATCCTTTGATCGATGTAACAACATAATTGCTGCATATACAGTAGTACTGTACTCCTGCAACTAAATCATTATGCTCATCTTGCAGCGAATTACGCGAATTTTTGAAACCTTCCTAGGCCAAGACAATGTCTGCTTTTAGTTCCTCAACGCTGTTGTTAGTACGCTCGGAATTTGATGGCACAAACACGAGCAGAAAGAAAAGTTTCTTACCTCGAAACTTGCAGATAATATACGTCATTTTTCAGAAATATCTCATATTCCAAGGAAGAAATGTTATCCATTTTTCTCGGTTTAGTTTTTCATGTAAAATCACCACCCCGCCGCTCGTAGCGCGATTTTTGGAACAACCTGTACAAGATGCTCGTGTTTCGTTTACTATTATTACCAGCTTAAGTATACGTTTACGTTAAATTTCAAGAGCAACGAAAGCGTAGAAGGTGTAGCTGTAGTTGGAATAATATGCAAAATAAGTAGAATGTTCAAAATACTTGCTACCGTATTTGCTACATGAAATCTCTGCTTAGCCTTCATCTGCTTAATTACATTCATAAACATACAAATTTGCATAATTGCTCTCGGTTCACTCTTTTATTTCCTTCTCTTAGGTTCATCCGCACAGAGTCCAGCACTTCAAACGCTTTCTCAGAAAAACAAATTTCTCTTCAAGTTCTACCCGTTTATTTAACAGCAATTACACTCGCAAAAATACAGATTTGCGTGGCATTGGCGGTCCAATTCCTAAGATCAGAGATCGTTTAAATCCTCGGACTCTTCTTGATATCTTCAAATTCTGTTTAACAAGATCTTTGGCCAAGTTGATAGAATTCCAATGAAACAGTTTGAGAGACCCTGAGGCCCAGAGAAACTCGAGTCACGCGTATACTAGACGCTTTCAGAAACCATGAAACGTCGTCGTTACCATTGCAAATTCTCTTTGCTGCCATTTATGGCTAGGCGAAGG